AATCCGGCCCAATGTCTAAGTAGTGCTACGCTTACTTGGGTACATTTTTTGTGTACTCTACGCACCTCTGAATATTACCTGTTGAACTATTCCATCTTTACGGATCAAACTGCATCATGAAGACCAAAGAATGAAGCAGAAGTTTATTAACTACTAATAGGCAGAGTATGGAACAACGGCAAACCTACCAAGATAAGTTCATCTATATAAGCTGTGCAAACAGGAAGCAGAGCATTAATCGGATAAGTAGCCAAAGAGACAGAAATCCACAGATTAGATGGGATTAGCTATGGATGGTGCGATGTACATCCTCAGTTCTCAGGAATACATTTATCAGAACTTAGGTCTCAGTATTGAACTCATCTTTTAAATTCAGTAAAATTGTCTACTAACGAGGCAGATATTTAAGTTAATTAGATATTTAAATTACATATTTAAGTTAAAAACATCTTCAACTTTATTTTGGACAACAGAAAGTGTGATATTACTGGGTAGACATCCCAACAGGCTGCATCCTAATGGAAAATTTAAAGTTTGTGGTCCTCCATTTCCCATGATTCATTGTGAGTCAAAGTGAATTGGTAAAGCTCAGAGAAATCAATATATTTTGCTTTCTATGTTTAAAGTTGTTTTTAGGTGACGTAGCTTTGTGAAACTCAAATATCTGCCTGGAATTTTAACTCTTTTAAGTCTTTGTTGGTAAGACCTAATACGTTTTTACATGTAGACTGAGAAACTTTTTTTCCTAGATGACTCATTACTGGGGGAGTCCTAAAATATGCAAAGGGAGAACCATCAGATTTTAGCTCCACAAATCTAAAAGATGAGTAGAGATAATACAGTTAAACCTTTGACATTGACCAATGGGCTCCATCAATTCTGTGAGGCTGAGCTCATTTCCACAGAGCAATGAGCAAAAACATCAGTGTGTCGATGAGCAGATCAGGTCACGACTCAAAATACTTGCAGCAAAAGATGGTTCCACAAAGTGTGCCTTCAGAGGGCTGGACATAGAGGCATTTAACATTTTTCAGATTAGTTAAAAAAGAAACAAGCATCCTTTTTCCAACAATGCTTCACAAATAGAATTATGTCAGCCTGCCATAGACAATTCAACTAAAACACAACCATGTTAGTAGTTGTGACATGACTAAATGTCAACTAATTTAAAGGTGATTTTGTAGGCTGCTATAACCATCCATCTATTTTCTTCCGCCGGGTCGTGGAGGTGGCAATCTAAGCGAAGATGCCCAGACTTCTCGATTTGGCGGACACTTCCTCCAGCTGCTCTGGGGGACCCCGAGGCGACACCATGCCAGCTCAGAGACATAGTCATGCTATAACCCATCCCTTAAAATACGGAATCATCCTTTATTCGGCAGGAAAACATTGTGTCTCATATTGAACGAATAGGGGACGTGTTTTGTCCCATATTTTTGTGAATGTCCGATACAAATGTCTGTCATACTCACATCAACACTGAATTTAACAGTAAATTAACTACATTAATTGCGGGAACTATTAGGCAGCTAAACTGTCCTTGTGCTTCCAAGAAGGACCTCATCTGCTTCACATCAGGTGCCGTCACTGTTGCCTAGCAATGGATTCCCCTCACCTACACTGCTTCCTGTCACCCATGTTTACACCCGGTACACCACTTCTTGAAAGAAACGCTTTCAAAAATACAGACGTGATTGGAAAAAAGCAAATCCCTGAACAGTGTGAGTGGGGATGAGGATGAGGAAAATTGCAAAATTGTGACTCTCAGCAAATGTTCACAATGATGCAGATCGGACCATCCATGGCTCTGGATTTCCTTTATAGCCTGACCATCCTCTGAGATCAATATGATACATAATATCATGACATTATTCTGGTTCTGTTGATTGTTTATATGGATTTAATGATAATTCTTTCAATATTCTGTATATCAGTAAATATAAGTGGCTATTTTAAGAGTAAACCAAGCTAAGAGGAAAACAAAAAACAAGCAAACATTTCTAAAATAACAGCCTTTTTTGCTGTTTTTTATGTTTCCTTAGAATATAACAGTTCTTTATTACACAGTTCTCATAAACTGACAACTATTAGGTGTTAGTGCCATCTGGTACATTATACAGTGCAATATAGGGCACATTATCACATAATTCTCGTCATTTGCTATATTACTCTAAACTGGCAGTAGTCCGATTTATTTGTGTAGTTTACTAGTTTTCTACGTTATCTGTGCTTTATTTGTTGTGAGACTGAAAATTCAGATCTTGCAACAATCCAGCTCAATATTGCTGATATGCAGCAATGTTTTACAATAAACTGTCCATTGCTAATCAAGGATTTTAAGCTTAGTTTGGAAAAACTTGGATACTTCTTTACTAAAAGTAGTGGCATAAAATAAAGGATACTACTAGATGGCAACCCTATACACAGTAAAAAAAAAAAGATGGCTTCCCTTTCTTGAGTTTAAAATATTTTCAGTTGTGTAAACCTGGAAAACTAAGAGGCAATTATAGAGATAATAATCTAAGTCAGATTAGTAAACAAAGATATTTGTAATCTTTAACTTTATCTGGTGAGTATTTATACCTTTAACTTTTTAGGTTGTTTAAAGAGGTGAACGTTCAGTTCACTTTACCTTACTGATGTTTTATTTTATCAATATAATTAAGGCTACTTTACCTTATTGATGTTTTATTTTATCAATATAATTAAGGCTAAATAAATGTTGTCAATGAAAATAACATTGTATGTTCTTTACAATGACAATAAAGCCTTTTATTAAATGATTTTTAAGTCTGAAGCAGACCTATAGTTAAGGCAGCAGTGGTCAGGGACTGGAGCTGCCATGCTGTGGCCTAGTGGTGAGAGAACAGAACGTTTACTTCTTGGATGTTTGAAACTTTGACAATTATTTTCCCTTAAACAAAAAACAAACAAAACAAAAAAAAGTTAGGAAAAAATCTAGATGACAAACTCCCCCACTACAGGAAATTAGCCATAAAAATATGATTTTTAAGTAAGAAATGTAAGTTTTCACTGCCTTTTCTAAATCACCACTACTTGTGCATAAGTTGGGAAATTAATTATTTCTAGTTACAATGACCTAGAATTCAAAGTTAAGTCCTAAACTTAAACTTTTGTTTAAGTTGTTTAACTTGCATAACGCCTAATCAGGAAAAGATTTTTATGGAAAATAAATTAACCGGAGGTGAAGTCAGCACCTGGTTGTACCATAAGCTCTTAATCAGCTCATATTTATGTAAGACTTAGACATTTCTCCAGGGTGACCTTTAACCCCATTTTTTAATTTCTCTCTCTTTTTTATGAAACAACAGAAGAAAATACCTGGAGTAAGGTGTGACCCCTGCACCTTTCACTTGTATCTCCCACCGTCCGCAGGTATCCGACTCCACCTCCCCTAGGTACATGACCGCCCCATCGCCCAGCTGACCCGCGAAGAACCCAAACTGGTGCCCGCAGTAGCAGTGTGCAGCCGCCTGGGAGCCCAGCAGCAGCCTGGAGCCGCTCAAATACTCCGGGGCCAGAGGGTCATCCAGGACGTCTTGCACATTCAGGCCCAGCAGAGACAAAGCCGGCTGAGACAGAGCCACCAATCTGGGCCGCAGGAGGGGCTGAAGGGAGGCGATCCGGGAGTAACATGCTCCTGGGACAGTCCTGGAGCCTTGCTGGTCTGAGACATCTACTGGGAGCCTTCTCAGCACAGTGTTGTTAAAAATAAGTCGATCCAGAGCAGAGCTGCTCTGAGGGGACTCCATGAAGTAGAGCTGGTGATACTAATCTGACCCAAGCAGGCAGAGATAATCTGGGCTGAGAGCAGACATGGGGCCTCATTAGGCCTTACTACCAGCAAATCAGCTCCCTGCTAGAAAAGCAGAAAACTATAATTTATAATAAGTCATATTTCTGACTTTAACTTAAATTAAAGAGTTTTATACTCAAGATTAAGGCCTATTATCATAAACTAAATATGGGTCTGAATTTCACTATAAAACAAACTTGTTTAGTCAACTTTTTATCTCATTTTTATGAACTTTTTTGTTTAAAATGATCAGATTCATTGACATTTTTTAACTTAGTGTGAATTCTATTCTTCTATTTTGTGGTGGCTGAAGCGGAAGCCCCTTCGAAGCCCCCCTCAAACCAACTAACCTCAACATTGTCCATCAGCTCTTACCTCTGCTGGTGGCAGTGGGTACGGTCTGTACAAAGACTGGGCTGGGCAGACCTAAATGGGCTACTGACATGTGGGAATTTGTTGTAACTTTAATATTACTTTCAGCTCGCAAAATTATTATTTTTTCCGTGCTGCATATCAATGTTGTTTTATGATCTTTGCCAATAAACAAAATAATAATTTTCTCTGCACTTCAATGATTTCATAAGCAATAAAGCACAATTGTTTATATACGAATCATAGAAGTGAAGAAAATAAAAACAATATATACACTGTTATCTTCATGTTAGATGTTAGAAAGAAATTTTGCAGCTCCCTGTGTTTTCTTTTCTGGGAAAATTGAGATCCAGTGACTCTTAGAGAGTCTTAGTGTTTCACTAAACAATAATTTTTCTGCATAGTTAGACATATTAGTCACAATAGATGTAATACTAAAACCAGACTGTATAATTTAACTCACCACAAACAAAGTGACAACATCTAGGTTTTACCAAATGCGGTGATGAAAAATTTCCCTTTGGTGAAAACTAAATGTTTGATATATGTTAGAAATTCTGAGCGTAAAAATACTAGTTTTAAATTGACATAATAAAGTAACATGTTTGAGAAAACAGTCTTTTTTACTCCCACTCTAAATGAGCCGTTGCTGTGGTATTTCTTTCATTTTAATCATAGATGGATATGAGGCGATTCTTTAGGGAAAAAAGCTGTTCCAATACCCTGAAAGATGAAAGCGGTGGAGGAGAATGATAGTGATTAGTGCAGTTCAGGGTTCTAAATTGATCAATTATTTCATTTTGAAACTAATAGTTTATTTTATCAATGTTGCAATTATACTCTGATTACATGAGTAACATTTACACAAGTGTAGATGGCTACCAGCTTTATCATTTAACACCACATTTTGCATGTAAAATCTATCTGTTTGGTGCATAACTGACATTTGTGCATGTTTAATGTGTGTAAATATAGTGTCCTAAACACATCCCTGTTGGAGGGATTTAAGACCATCAAACCGATGATGATAAGTTATGATCAAAACAGTCACACAGCCAAACTAAAACGTATGCAATTATTAATTAAACATGACATGATGAAATTGCAGTTTTTTACTTCATAAGGATGCATTTAAGATTCATAATTTTGACTTATTCTTTAAATAGGGATTTTTAATGTACATATGAAAATGCAATATATTGTTTAGTGATGGGCCGTGTTTGCTTTATTAATATATTTTTGCGACTTTGCTTAACACTAAAACTTTCAACCTTACAGCTTGGTTTTAAAATGTACGTGGTTTTAAAATTTGGTATCGCAAAATGCTGACTTTCACTTATCTAGGCTAATTATAATTTTCTATTTTAAATCAGGACTTGGACATGTATAATTTTCTATTTCAAAGTCATGACTGGAACTTTGCAATTTGCATTGATCCTAATATTATTATTTTAAATTCGATAGTTCATACTTTTACATTTAAAAGCAGGAAATATCAAAATTTTTTTTTTTTTTTTTTTTGCGTAATAATATTTATTCTAAAAATGAATAACTGCATATGTTGAATTTTCTTATGGCATTCATAACAATAGTTATGGTATTTTCTAACTTTATAATGATGTAAACTCTAATATTGATAATGATAAAATTGCAAAAATCAGATAAATACGAGTTAGATCTCATAATTGATCTTCTGGACTTTAAACTTTACTGGTATAAATGTTGATCATTTTAAAGGACATGATGCTATGAAAAAAAATTAATAAAATCCAAACTCTTTAATTTCATCCATTGTAAGAAAAATATTTAATTGAGTGATAATAAAGCAAAGCTAAATCAGTAAATAGTGGGTTTTTTTTGTTCAATAAATGTCCAGCAGGTGGCAGCAAAAATATCAGAGCGAACCAACAACCAGAGAATTCTCGGTTCTTGCCTCCTTCCAGTAGGTGGCGGTAATGCACTTTGACGTTATTTGCTAACCACAATTAAACAACGAGAAGATAAACAAATTACTAAGATGATATATATATATGTCTGTTTTTTTGTACACATTTTTATTAATTGTTTTCGTGTGACTCTATGTTGGGGTCTTTAACAGCAGGTCGTCACATTAAGAGCTGTTTTACTTGCAACTCTGAAAAACATTATAAGTATCAGTTAGCCAGCTAGCTGGAAGGGTTATCAACGCTACTGAAAGTTTTCAACCCCCGAAGAAAATAAATGGACTCGGACGTTTTCACGGACGCCTCAAAAGGTTAGTTCTTTAGAGGACGAATGTGAATGAAACATATTTGTTGGAAAACGTTCAGTCAGTTACAGAAAGGGTAAACGTTAGCTTATTTCGGTAGCTTGATGTTATCATTTTGATATGGTGCTTTGTTGGGGTCATAACGTGATTGAAACGTTATTATATGGCCAATTAATAAATGCAGAGTTTTGTTTCTTTAATTGTGCAAAGAGTTGCTTATAAACACGGCGTGGTTGCTGCAAGCCGCGTTTATTAACACTGCTGCTCTTGAACACGCACCAATAGGGGACGTTCAAAACTGTTTGCTACAAGTAAACGTTTTTAACATCCCTGTCCAAACATGAAGGATTGTCTACATTCTTGATATGTTTTTGTAGTAGTTAGTTAACCATAGTTATAGTGCATTATTTATCTGTTGGAATGAAACATTTCTAAAGATTGTTAATAATTTGTCAGTAGATCATTATCTGTTTTCTGGGCCTTTGTGTTTATCAATTACTTCTACTGACAGCCGATACATGATTATATTCTTGATATTTCAGAAGCTTCATAACACAGATAATGTTTATATTGCAAGGTGTACCCATATTTCCATAATATGGAATTCTTGAGTGCTTAAAATAAAATAACATTTAAAAAAATAAATCAGACAATGTGAAATAAATATGTACTTGAATAAATAATACATGCATAATAAATGTGACAATACCATAATGAAAAAAACGAATGCAAATAAATTTTAGGCTCATAATTGAAGACCATTATGAAGAAATGTGTTGAGGTACGACGGAGTATTGGACACAAGCTAGAGATTTTTAAAATATTTTTATTTCAAGAATAAAGTCGTAATAGTACGAGAATAATGTCATAAAATTATGACAATAAAGTCATAAAATTATGAAAATAAAGTCACAACATTAAAAGAATAAAGTCATAAAATTATGAGAACAAAGTTGCAACATTAAGAGAATAAAGTCATAAAATTAAGAGAATAAAGTCGTAAAATTATGAGAATAAAGTCACATTACAAGAATAAAGTC